TTCCTTGGCTGTTTCATTGATAAGCAGCAGGCTGGCAGTGTGGAGGGGATTAAAGGCCTTCACAGAGCCGAGTCCTGGTTTGATAAATACACACTTCCTTCTGGAAATCCTGGCTCAGACACATCATAGGCTCTGGGTGATTAGATGGTGGCATCCAGTGCAGCCGTGACTAAAGCACATGCACTGTTCTATACAATGCTTACTTCTTCGGTGTATGGATGTTATGGTGACAGCTTGCCATCAGTTTATCCTTGAATCAAAGGATTATTGCAATATTCTATACTCTTTGTTTCTTTATTCACTTCCACTGTCTCTGCGTCTGATCTTCTTCACGCTCTTCCATGCATTCATAGATTATACGGCATGTATGTATCTGCCTCACAGGGGCAGTGAGGCAATGCAGACCTTGTAAAAAAAACATGGAGACAGCCAGGCAGTGCTTTGCAGAATGAGACAGATGTAATAGGATGCCAGAAAGCTGCACTCGTCTCTCCTCCTCCTCTTCCTTCTCAGTTCTCTAGAGACTCTCAGAGCTCATCGTTTGCCTTCTGCATGTTAATGATATCCTGTGTATAAATACCGAGGGCAAGGAGCCATCCGAAGCCAACCCTTTCGAAGCCCTCTAGATTAATTGACCCGCAGGCTCTCAACTGATACTCAGGCTTTTTACGGGAAATCAGCGAGCAGAATTGGGTACAGAGTAGAGATGGGAGAATGAGTTTTGCTGCATGCTGAAGNNNAGAGTCGGTATAGAAAGGGTAGTGCCTCTGTCCCATAAAACAAGTCAAGGAGCTACATTTATTACTGTGTTAAAATACTCAGCTCCCAGAGATTCAGCTGGCACAGGCCTAATTATCGACCTTCTGCTCCTAATTCCTGTGAAATGAGGACAGCGACTAGGGGAAAAGAGATCTTGTGTCCTTTGTCTGTTTCTCTCTTCAAGGCTTTAACCCTGAACATTAAGAACATATACCTGGTCACTTCCACCCTATTAATTCATTTACAGATTCCTTTACCAAATATTTGTGTATAATTTTTCTATCAAATTTTTTTTTCAAATTCAGTAGTTGATGAGAATAGTTAGTGAGACCTCTGTAGATAAGTCTCTGTAATTAAATGGATTGTCATGCAAGTTTGTAGACAGTCTACCTACTGACTTTGACTTTTTCATTAAGCAACACCAGCAGATCAACTGGTCGACTGAAATATCTCCATATCTACTTGATGGATTTCCAAACTTTTGTACAGATAGGTAAATGTGATGAGGATGCATTTTAATAATGTTGGTGATACTCTGACTCACCTAGTGCTATCATCAGGTCTAAATTTGAATTTGCCCAATAGCCTACTAATGATGTTCCCATCATCCTTAGCTTTTTTTTGTATTTAGTGCTAATTAGCAAGTTAGCATGCTAACATGTCAAACTAAGAACATGATAAACATTATACCTGCTAAACGTCAGCATGTTGGCATTGTTATTGTGAACATGTTAGCATGCTGACATTAGCATTTAGCTCAGGCACTACCATGGCTATAGACATATATTCTTGCAGAGCAAAAATACCCTTAAGTCTAATAAAGTCCTTAATTGTCGGTTAAATTCTAATATTATGGGTGTGTCATGAAAAATAAATAACCAGGTACTCCAATCAAGTGAAACATCTAATGTAAAAGGAAAAAGTGACTCAAGCTGCAGATTTAGCAACAATATTATATTGGGGACCACAGATCCACAAGCACTTTTAGCCATCAAAAAGGCCGGGATTTACCTGTAGTGCACAGAGACCAGTGTTTGGGGGGAAAGCTGAGGGACTAAAAAAGGGACTAAAATGCGAGGTTGGTTGTGCTGAGAGGTGCGATGAAGCATCTCTGACCACTTTTAGGGATTAGCAGAGAGTAGAGGTGCTTGTTCCCTAAACCTCTCAACCAAAAACAGCAATTATACACCAAGGAGCTGCATCCCTTACAGGCAGATAGGTCAGTCAAGCGGAACTGGCACAAAATTAGGTGAGACAGTAGAAATAGGCCATCCCAGTGAAGTGAAGGATAATATGGTCCACATTAGGTCCTCTATTGTTAGTAAAACCTAAAATCCCACCCAACGTCTGCAAAGTCTGTCAGTCAGATCATTTTGATATGGCAAATTAATGTCCAGTTTAATCATTTTTTATTATTACTTTTTGATTATGAGAGTGAAATGTGGCGTGAACTGATTGCTGGAATTTCTCAGCTCTTTCAAATTACTATTACATTTCTGTAATAGCGAATTAATTGACTCCCCTTTCAGACGTAGTGCATCGCAGGACACCATTCTCAATCTAACAGTGAAAAAGCAGGCCCAGTAATAAATGGATGAAGTTTACTACACGTGCCATTTTGTTTTCTGATGGTATGAGAACAATTTGCTGGTGTCCTGTCAGAGTGATGTAAGTGCGTTCAGGGCCAGAGTTAAGTAAAGGAATAATGGGGAAAGCACTCTGTAGTAGCTAGATATCAACTTCATTAGATGTGATTAGCATTATGGAAATTCTCTGAAGGGGGGCTCTTTGATGTTGGTGCTGCTCATCCCTTTTTTCTGCTCCACAGTGAAACCTTATCCCCCACCCTGCTCTGGCTCTCTCCCTCTTTTGCTCTCATTTCCCTCTCTCTCTCTTTGTCTCTTCCTCGGGGTTGGTTGATTGATTAATACTCAGATAGGATCCAGACAAGGGTATGGGTTTGAAGGGATTGTGTCTGTGTGCGTGCATCCGGTTCAATGTCTATGTGCCTTGGTGGTTCTATTTGAAAGTACCTGAGGCGGTTTTATGGTTTAAACTGATTATGCAGCAATCAAGGTCCATGACTCGCTGGATCATTATGGTCACCAGCATTGTGCATTTAACAAGTTGATGCCTCACTAGACCTTAGCATTGTTTGGAGTGTGACGGAAGAGAGAATTGAAGTGATGGCATAAGGGAGGAAGACATTCAGAAAGAAGCAAACATTGTATTTTTATTTCACAACGGTTGTCTTGTCTTAGCAGATCATATCTTTAGTTATATTGTTTACTGTAACAATAACTTCAAATGCTTTCATCTTTAATTTGTTCAATATCCATCTAGTTATTAGAATAGATAATTCAGAATATTTTTTTAGAGTTGCTCTTGGGATGGCAATTTATTCGATGTATTTTGACACAAGCATTTAGCTAAAAGCGCCAGTAGCCACTCACAGTTGTTGTTCCTGTTGATGCTACATAAAACGGAATATTTGAAGCAAATGACCATAAAAATACATTCCCAGGTATCCATATTATCCTGGCTAATAATCCTATACCCCTCTATTTTTTTCAGGAAGGACCAGCACCTTCTGTCCTCAGTAAACTGCTGGTACCTGGTGCTGAACCAGACGAGACGAGAGAGCCGTGACCATGCCACCCTCAGCGACATCTACACCAACAATGTCATCCTTCGCTTGGCCCAGATCAGCGAGGACGTCATCCGCCTGTTCAAGAAGGTCAGTGAGACTATCACCCTCCCCTTTTTACTACTACTCTCTCATCACCAGTGCACAAAATATCAGAGTCCAGGAGTCCAAAACACAATAACCAAGCAATTAGCTTTAAGCTTTTATTTGCTGAGTTCATTCTTTCGCCTCCATGTTACTACTAAGTTGAATTATCAAGTTACAAGTTGCAGCAGCTGAAATTTGTTTGGCCATAGCATGCAGACTGATGGTAGCCCAAACAAACGTGGTGCTTTCTCTCAGCGTACATGGAGTTTGTAGAAGGTGTAGAAGTTCTGTCAAAATGGGAAAAGTGAAGCTGAGACCCCCTGGCCCAAGACTGGTCCAACACCCTGCAGGCTAGTGTGAACAACGTTTGGCGCGCTGTCAGCACATAGCAGAGATGATTGAGGTCTTATCCAAACATTGGAACCGTGTTTTCACCTTGCAAGCCTTCCTGTAGGTGAGCTACTCTCTACTTACTAGGCTCCATTCACATATGACTCTGTACGTGTGTGTGGATGCTTGTGTTTGTCAGAAAATGTGCCAAAGCTGAAAAGGGAGAAACATTCCATCCTTTTTAAGTCAGGTGCCCTCAGGAAGCGTTTTCTATATTTGAAGGAATGAATGGATGGCTCTGCTGCTGCTTGCTGGCAGACATATTGGGGGGTATAAATAATGTATCAAAAATGTCATGGAGCACTGGAGAAAATTAAAACTGAAATGAATGAAAGAGCTTTGGATGATTGACTGTTGGACATGACAAGGTGATCAAGGACAAAAAGTACAGCTGTTGACAAAAACTTGA